GTTCAGTGTAATATGCCAATCTACTATGAACAACAGCTAGTCTAGGCCAGCGCCATATAGATAGATCTCTCTATATGGCGCTGGCCTAGGCTAGCAAGAACATGTTTACAATTGCAATCTTATACGGGTAGTCTGCTACGTTCGGTCATTCATTGTAGCTGGCATGAAAACAATGTTTTCCCTAGCATGTCTAGCTCTAGGTAGCCTAGTGGTTTAGCTATGTAGCATACACGCTATGAACGGTAGCTTGGTAGCATACACGCCAGGAACGCCAACTCTCATGTACTGACCGTACGGTAAATCACCCGGAGTATACTGTCTATGAGTATTTCGTGTGTGAATGCAGACATTCTCCTGCTATGAGATACATGTATGTAAGGCCATCTGCTGATATTAGAGTTGATATATGGAAACGCTAGCAACTTAGTTAGCACAGTTAGCACTGTGTCAATGGCTTAGCAGTCCGAAACACGTTTACACATTTAAACAGTCGTGGTAGATACCTTGTTTGGGAGATATTCCTAACGAAATGAAGTGCCAATCACAAAATATTATTGAAACTTAGTCGTTTTATGTTCGTCAGCTTGCCAGCTGGATTACAATGCTAACCTATGTTTGCTAGTTGTTCAGTGTAATATGCTATAGGCTACTATACTATACTATACTATGAACAACAGATAGTGGTTCATATTAGGCTATCAAGAACATGTTTACAATTGCAATCTTATACGGGTAGTCTGCTACATTCATTGTAGCTGGCATAACAACAATGTTTTCCCGAGCAAACTCATGTCTAGCTCCGTTGTTTAGCTCGGTAGCATACACGCTAGGAATGCCAGCTATAATGTAGTTACGTTTCGCGACTGACCGTACGGTAAATCACCCGGAGTATACTGTCTATGAGTATTTCGTGTGTGAATGCAGACATTCTCCTGCTATGAGATACATGTATGTAAGGCCATCTGCTGATATTAGAGTTGATATATGTAAACGCTAGCAGTCCGACACACGTTTACACATTTAAACAGTCGTGGTAGATACCTTGTTTGATAAATACACAAATAACAATGCAAACTTACAGGTTGTGTACCCGAATCTTCCCCTGCTCCAAACGGTCCAAACAAACTAGGAATAGCATCGTCCTTCAGTTTGAGACCTCGGCTCCACGGGAACCCATACGGCAAAACGCATCGGAGTAACGCAAATGCAACCGCAAAAAACCTTCTGCCCACACGCAATATACACCGGATTGTGTCAAGCTCCACGAGACGGCTCCGTTTACATCCAACCGCTGGAAAAGCTGCAGTACATATGCCGAACCTGTACGTGGCGCTGTAACTTCCTCCACAAAAAGCAGCAACTTCCTCCACAAAAGCAGCGAAGAAGAATGGTTGTCATGGCTGCACTTCTGTTTATTCTCCGCGGTGGGGGCCGAGGGAACCGCGCCGAGTTTTTCGCCGGTCAATGTGTGTTAAAGTTTAAATCTTCATGCTTCCTCATGCTCAGCTGATCCAGTAAGTAAACCCGACAGTAAAAATAAACATATTTATAACTAGTTTAGGTAGTTTGAGAGGTAATTAAAATAGCTAAGGGTGGTGATCTGACTTGAAGTGTGTGTTTTGCTCCCGCTGCATCACAGCCGGAGGAGCTGCGTGTCTCCGTCCTGTCAGATTAGACTTCACTCGCGTTTATGTCCATATCGAGATAAAGATAAATAATCTGAATTCAGTGTGCAGTGTACTTTTGCGGGGGTGAGCAGCAGAGGTGGGGAGAGGCGGGGAGAGGCGGGGCTATGAAACGGATGACCGTATAGGCGACCCCACGGCCCCGTTGGACCCCCCAGAGCGCTCCGTTCCCAGATCTATCCACCTTTGGACCCGTTGTCGTTTGCGGGGTCTGTTTCTACGTTTCCGTTACGGCGTCGTCGAGCTTAAAGGGCTATACGCATGAGAAATATGCGGATTCAACCCGTTTTCGTCCCCGTGGAGCCTAGGCCTCGAATGCTGTGCATATCCGGCCTCAAACTGGGCAATGTTTTGGAAGCTTTCGTCTGTGAAATGCCGCGCACACAGTAACGTTCTTCGAACCTCTGAAGGAACAGTGTTAAACAGAAATTTCAACCACTGACTTCGTCGTGGTTCTTCCGTCGGTAGGACAAACAGCTCAGATTTCCCCTCACATTTCAGGAAACAGGTCCTTGGCATTGGCATGACTGGATCAATTGTGAACTGAACCAGATCCGGATTGGTCCATTTAGTTCCGGGTACGGCATGACATCATGCCGTACCCGGTGTTCTTGAACGTTCTTTAAGTACGCATCACTGTACAATATTTCCCTTATATGGCCTCTACTCAACATAATAAGACACATTCAACTGATATTTAACACTCAACATTCCCTATAACCTTCAACAGCTTTTGGTATATTCCACAATACATCATTTCAAGCATTCTACAAAATACAATTTTGTCCATTGCTGTGAATTCATGTTTAAGGCTCCTTTGAAGTCGAACAACTTGACATGCAATAGTTAACATTATTTAACATATTTTAAATGGGTTGTTTCTATTTAAGTTAAATTGTACATGTTTCAGATGTTGCAATGCTCTTTAAATGTTTATTACGTATCATTTATTGTTAAACCAAAGGGTTTATCCTAATGAACTTAATAAAGTTGTTAAATTGCTGTTTGCTGTCAGACTATCCACCATTACTTCTCTTCTAAACCAAACACTTATTTCATCAGTAAACTCACTAAATCAACACATTTGGAACTCACCCTGTCGGTTCCCTTATAATGCTACAACCACCGTGTGTTGAAACCTGAAGAAGAGGGTTAATTTCTGCTAGCTGTTAGCTATTTAGCAGCCATTGTTGGTTGCACTGAATATCATTATGAGTAGTAGCAGAAAAAAGAAATGTTCAAGTCAGTCTGCTCTGATTGGCTTACAAAAATAATTGCGAATGTAGTTCTCAGGCCGTGGGTGAAGAAACTCAGACTTGGGGCAGTATATTTGGGTTAGGTGAATGAGCCTGAATCTGATCTTGGGAAGGGCTTGTAGAATCCCATGTTTTCTGACCGAGGTAGCCCGAAAAGAATTGACTGGGTTGTGTTATTTGATAGTTTGTAGGCTGTTAGGCACACCAGACACTAAAATGTATGTGCACAAGTAGAGAAAAGGGCACTTAATAATGATCTGTCCCCTTAAATGAAGCAGAGTCTTGACTTTCCCCATCGAGCAGGTTGTAGGTAGCTTGGAGTGTCTTATCTAGTAGTTCTTTTAATCCTCTCAGGATTATAAAACATTACTCAGCAACTTGGCTTCCCTCCATGCGTCTCCACTGTAAGGTTTGAACAGCTGACAGCCCCAGACAGGCACTGAGGGCTGGAGACACTGGAGGGTCTGGAGCTGACACAGGGACAAGAACCACCACAGGGGAGGAGACATACATTCAGTCAAAAATAATAGAGCAAACATTTAAATGAACCTCAAGTCATACTATGTGCAGGGTTTGGAGGTTTCCTTTAATAATGTAATCCGTTACAATAACTAGTTAACTACAAAATGTAATCAGTAACCCAATTTGAGTATCACAAATATAAAAGCAATGTATCCATCGATTCCCGACCGAGCTGAACGTTTTGATGTTTGAACGGAGTTTCTGCGATGTTGAATGTGGGAGGAGAAGACGGACAAAATAATTGGATGGAATAATAAGAATTTTGTCCGTAGCATAACATAAATACAAGAGAAAATAAATATCTATGAGATGATTTTCTAATTAAGTGTATAATGAAAGACAACAGAACAATGTGACGTAAAAAAAGAAGAAACCAAGATATTTAGGATAAAAAAAGGCCCCTGTTTTAGTTTAACACATGAATTAAAAACAAACACAGACTTTTTCTTTAATCAATCAGGTGTCGACCAACTGCATTCATAAAAAGATATTTAAAACATAATAAAGAAGAACGAAGGAAGTCTAAATGAAAACAAAAATCATAATGCAGGCAGGACGTTTACCTATATACATCTTTATTTTAAAACGTACAGTATTGTAACATTGTAATCCTGCTAGAAATCCTTCTTTTCAAAAATGTACCTGTGATCTGGTGACGACTTTGATTATGTAACCCTAAGGGAATAAAGTTACCTTTTTTTGTATCCTGGTTACTTAATCCCGTTATATGTTATCAGTTACTCCCCAAACCTGCATATATGTCAGATATTAGTGTACCGTATGTAGAACAATGAAATGTGTCAGATACATTGAGCTGGGATCCAGTATCTCTGTCACTCTTTTCCGTTCTGTAGTGACGCCTGGGTGTTTGAGGGTGGGGAAAATCTCAGCAGACAAGAAAAAGGTCAAATAAGCTTTTGTCGGTACAGTACTTCTAATGACTACTGCAACTGATCTCCAAATGAATTCATAGCAGAGGATTTTTGGAGCTCTTTTTTATCAATTTTAGGTGCTAAAGTTCCTGAGCATAGTTTTTTAGACCACAGCGGTAAAACCTAAATAGGTGGATAAAATAGGAAGAAAAACAGAGAGCAAAGAGAGCAGGCACAGAAGCAGAAGGTGGCATGCCTGCTGTTTGTCTGTGCTCATATGCCAATATCCACCTCAGAGACTTATAATGAACAATTGGAAGACATCCCAGAGTTTTGTTTGCTGACTTCTGTCTCTCCCAGATTGTTTCTTTACTCCTGCTCATGTTTCAAAGGAGCCACTGGATTTAGGAGCAGAGGAGGAGAAACAGATAGAGAGGGGTAGTTGGAAGTGAATAAGTGCAGGGAGGAGACAGATCACACATTTTTTAGAATTTTTAAATTACATAGTACATTGTTGCTGGTGTTTTGACTGGAGCCTCACCAGTTGATGGTGACAAGCTTAAACTTGAAAGTGCTTGAACGTTTTCCAATGGATCAAAGAATAACCAAACTTCGCCTGCTCTCCCTCCCCCTCCTCTTGGTGTCCGCCATGTTTTCTGTGGCAGTGGGCAACCATACAGGGAGGATCAAGGTGGTCTTCACACCCACCATCTGTAAACTAACCTGCATCGGAGGAAGATGTCACAACAACTGTGAGCTGGGAAACACCACCACCATCATCAGTGAGAACGGCCACGCCACCGACACCCTGACAGCACCCAACTTCAGAGTAGGTGAGTGATCCTGACACACACACACACATACACACACACACACACACACACACACACACACACACACACACACACACACACACACACACACACACACACACACACACACACACACACACACACACACACACACACGCACACACACACACACACATTTTATTATAGCTTTTCCACGACAGACAAACATAGAATCACAGTATTTAGGTATAGTACATGGATCTAACACATACAAGACATACCAATGGTAGTAGTGAGGTTAGAGTGTTTGTATTTCACCATAGGAACACATGCATGAACATGATCTTACATCAGCACATGCCTAACCACAACACATAATTATAGCTTCTTTGCTGTTTTATAGAAAAGCATTACTTTACAAGAACATACACGATAGTTTACACCTGGAGTAAATACATTTAGTCCAATAATGACTTTTGTTTTATTACAATAGAGGAGGCATGGTGCTGTGCTTCAATTTGTCCCATATACCATTCACACCCCTGTCAGGTATGACAGCCTCCTCCATTCCTACAGGGTTCAGAAAGTGCTCCAGCCATCTAATTGCATTTGAACAATTGTGCAGGACGGCCAGCAAGCTTGTAGCTATAGTCATTGAAGCTTTGTATATTTAGTCACATCCCAAAGAGCCTTGACAGCGGGACAAACCATATTGAGCCCAGAAAAGGAAAGTTATTAAGGGCTGTAAATATAATAAGCCTATGTCTAAAATGGACAACATTGTTAGGAGATGTAAACTATACAGCGATTCTGCACTGCGGTCAACTCCGCCGTCTCTCGAGTTTGTTTTTTCAAATCAGCAGCTCTTCATTTTTTTTCCTGCTATATTTGACGAGTGATACAAATATTTTTTACCACAAGTTCTTAATAAAACTGACACTGTTGGACTCAGTACTAGTTGACTGCTACCAGAAATAATATGAAGTACTTTTACTGTGTACTTTTTGAGTAATCCTCTGTCAAAGTCCCCTCCATTGTAGGCCTACGTATAATCAGGGTTGGGTGTACGGAATACATGTAACGGCGTTACGTAATCAGAATACTCTCTCTCTCTCTCTCTCTCTCTCTCTCTCTCTCTCTCTCTCTCTCTCTCTCTCTCTCTCTCGCGTGCAGATGCAGCGTGTCTGTGAGGCCCCGCCCCCGCACGCAGATGAGAGAGAGAGACTTATCTTTTAAAATATATTGAAAGTTAGAAACGGAGATGGTTCGATAAAATGTGCAAGATAACGTTTATGTAGCATTTCTTTATTGTTGAAATGATGACATTTCATAGCGGAATAAAATCAAAGTGAATGGCCTGCTGCTGCTGAATGCATGGGGCAAGTGACTGGAACAAGCTTTTCAAGTTATTACACCGTTTCAGATAATAATAATAATAATAATAATAATAATAATAATAATAATAATAATAATAATAATAATAATAATAATAATAATAATAATACAAATAATAATAATAATAATAATAATAATAATTCATTCTATTTAGAGGCGCCTTTCAAAGTACCCAAGGACACCTGACAATTCATAAAATATTCTAAGGAAAGTTTTAAGACAGTGCAAAAGGACTGTAACAGGGAACACGTTGGGAAACAGGAGACATACCGTAGCACAGTGAGTAGGCTGATCTGAACAGGTGGGTTTTGAGGAGGGACGTGGTGATTGTGTCAGACTGTCGGATGTGAAGGGGGAGAGAGTTCCATAGTTTGGGAGCAGCTAAAAGCTTGATCCCCCATCGTGACTAGGCGTGGGGGGGGACAGTTAGCAGGCCAGCAGAGGAGGAGCGGAGGGAGCGAGAGGGGGTGTAGGAGGTCAGCCAGATAGGTGGGGGCCAGGTTGTGGAGGGCTTTGAATGTGAGCAGGAGGGTTTTGAAGTCTATCCGGTATTTTACAGGTAGCCAATGCAGATGGATGAGGATGGGGGTGATGTGGTCAGAGGATTTGGTGCGGGTGATGATCCGGGCAGGGGGGGGTGCTAGTTTATTTTCCGACCCGCCCACTTCGGTACCGGCCCATCGGGATTCGTCCCGAACGTCCCGATGGCCAGTCCGCCACTGCTGGTTGGCCTCTTACTATGCTGCTGTCTTTTAATATATGATTATTTCTCAGCCGCTAGTTCGTTCCTTTCTGGTAGCAGTCAACTAGTACAGAGTCCAACAGTGTCAGTTTTATTAACAACTTGTGGTAAAAAATATTTGTATCACTCGTCAAATATAGCAGGAAAAAAAATGAGCTGCTGATTTGAAAAAACAAACGCGAGAGACGGCTGAGGTGACCGCAGTGCAGAATCGCTGTATAGTTTAAATCTCCTAACAATATTGTCCATTTTAGACATAGGCTTATTATATTTACAGCCCTTAATAACATTCATTTTCTGGGCTCAATGTGTGTCTTGGCCGTTTTCGTTGTGATCGCTAAATTCACGTCGTTTCCCCTTGTTTATAATATTATCACAGTTCCAAGCAAACGAGTGCTTTTGTTTTGAAATCACATCCGTGAGTTTTGCCCCGCACCTCGCTCCAATGACCATTCGACCATTTAGTAAGGTAAAAAACAAAAAGCAAAAACGTCTCTCAGATAGAGATGGGTGAGTCCTGATTCATCCGGATCATTAACCCGGATCCCGAACTTCCTTCACTTCCTGCAGACTTGTGGGGACTCAGAGCCGTAACCGTATAGCAGATCCAGAGATCCAGACTCGTCATGCACGAGCATAGCCGCAACTGGGAAGTCATTTTACTTAGGGGGTGCGGACAAAAGTGGGGAGAGATTACAGCAGTAACATGACGTTTTTCAAATGTACACCATTTGCAGCCCCGCCTCCAGCACCCCTACTTCCCGCGGCTAATGGCTATTGTGCACGAGTCAACAGCAGACTCAGAGATTCGCAAATCCTGACTCACTGTGCAAAACATAGCAGACTCGTGCGGACTCAGAGCCGTAACCGTATCAGCAGATCCAGAGATCCAGAGATCCAGCAGACTTGTCGTCATGCACGAGTCAACAGCAGACTCAGATTCGCCAAATCGCAAAATAACCCTTTTTTTTTGTGATCAACGTTTTTTATTAAAGCAAAATACACTGTGTAGCGGAGGTTTATGTAACGTTAGTTTAATATGCTCGTGAAATGCAACACGTTTTCGGTTTCACCGGTAGGATTTCTATGCTCTTGGTGATGCTGACTCATATGACTCAAATGTCTCGTATGATCCGGATCTCTTCAATGACTGACTCAGAAGACTCAGAGTCCGTAAAAGGATCCGGATTTGCCATCTCCTCTCAGACACTCTTCCGTTTACTTGTTTAATAAAGAAAAACAAATGGTCCGAAGATACACGGATTGATCTCCCTCCATCATGTTGATTTGAATCAGAAGTTCTGAACATGAGCCCGCCCCTCTCGACCTTCTGAGCCAATCACAGCGCGATAATGACCTGCCTTCCGTTTCAACTATACTCCTTCCGTTTCCACTATACTTTCTCTCACACATACATACATTCATGTCTTCAGACATGCATATATTATTTATAATATTAAATGTAAACATTGAATGAATGTGCACAAGAGCAAAATGTATAAATGTGTGAGTGAAAAATGTATAATATGTGAGTGACAATGTATGAATGTGTGAGTGTAAATATATATGTATATGAGAGTGAAAATATATGTATGAAAAGGGAGAATGTATGTGTGTGAGAGGACCAGTATGAATTACGGCCTGTACCGCCCCTCATACAGTGCTGTGGTTTGGTCGAAGACCTGACTGGAACACATCGAAACAGTTGTTTAAATGCAAGACATTACTCAGCTGTTCAAAAACAACTTTTTCAATGACTTTACCTAGAAATGGCAGGTTTGATATGGGCCTGTAATTGTTCATTACTGAAGCATCTAGATTATTCTTTTTTAAGAGCGGTTTAATGACTGCAGTTTTCAGGGCCTGTGGAAAAATACCTGAGTGAAGAGATGTGTTTACTATATGAAGTAGATCTGAGGCCATGCACTGAAAAACATTTTTGAAAAAACCTGTTGGTATAATATCAAGGCAGCAGGAGGAGGATTTGAGATGTTTTATAATGTGCTCTAGGTCTTTATCATTAATCTGATGGAATTGTGTCATGGTGTTTGAATTGATTTTAAGTGGACACAGGGACAACACATTTGCTGTACCTGATACAGAGGCACTGACACTCATTGCAGGCCCTGGTGGATAGAAGTTCAGAGGCTACTGACACTGGGGGGTTAGTTAGTCTGTCAACGGTAGCAAACAAGGCACGTGCGTTGTTTTTGTTTTTGGCAATGATGTCAGAGAAGAAAGACTGTCGTGCATTTTTCAAATTATATAAGCCAAGTCTCTCTTTATAGATTTCAAAATGAACCTGGAGATTTGTTTTTCGCCACCTGCGTTCAGCTTTTCGACACTCTCTTATATCTCTTATATGATAGACAGTTTGTCTGTCAGAAGTGTATGTTAGATATCCCTTAGTTAACATTGTAGAAACTGTACAAACAGGCCTGTGTTATGGAGCATGGTGTGGGTGTTCTGTAATGTGTTACACAGACCCTGCAAACTGTGTCTGAACCTGCGTCCGTCCTTACAAGGACTACATCTCTCACTCATGCAGAAACAGGGGAAGAGCGGAACAACATGAATTCCTGTCTGACTCAGCTGAACAAATTAGTACCACTGTAGTAAAAACAGCTCACACAGAAAACACACACTGTTCTCTTTGGGTGACCTGGATGGGTGCTGTTCATCTGTGGGATGGATTTTCAGAGTCTGGGTTCAGCCATAGCAGTTAACCCTTGTATGGTATTCGGGTCTGTGGGCTATTATTTAGCTAAAGAAAAATGATATGACAAATTATTTTTTCAAACCCACACTCAATGGCCTTGGCTCATTTTTCATCAGAACACATTTTCAATGACCACCCACTGTACCCCCCCCCCCCCCCCCCCCCCCCCCCCCCCCCTACACATTT